GGTCTGGGCGCTTCGCGGTCAAGACGGGGCCCAGTGGGAATGACTGGCGCGCGGCTGTCTACTCCAAACGGCTTCGAAGTAATTTCCCGTGGCGCGGAAGGAGGTGGAGCTGATCCTATGGGTTCAATCGAGGACAACCTCTGTTTATACGGCGGTGCGTTGCCTAGACGGGGTCCGGAAGGGATATTGGGAGGCAGAGACCGTTCAACAGCTTGGGGAGCAGATGGTTTTGGTTCGGGAAACGGCTCTTCTTTTTTTGGATTGATATCTGATGATTGAAGACTCGTAGTCGGAGCGAGACTCGGGCGAGTCGGCCGTGACGCGGGTTCAGAGCGGCCCCAGCTGTCCTGGTGCAGAGATGGCTTCCCAGCTTGACCGAGATTTGTCGCATTGACCGCTCTTCCAGCTTTGGGCCCACTAGGCGGCATGAAAGTGGTCGACGACGGCGTCGCAAGCTCAGGCTTGGGAGGCTGTTGCTTGATAGGTGCAGACTTTTCAGCGGCAGGTGTTGTGACAGGCGGCAAAGAAGGCGGAGGTCCATAGTCAAGACCAACAGCGGCAGGAGGCTGTTGCAAAGACTGAGGTGGATCGCGGCGAGAAGTGTCCAATCTTGAAGCCCCAAAATAGTCGGACGCTTCAACATCGCGTCGACCGTCTCGCACGGCGCCGGTTTGGGTGGGAACCACTGACGGCCGTCTCCCAGCGTCAAGGTCGAGCTTTCCAGGTCGGTCAGTGGCGCCAGCAGCAGGAGCGACGGCAGAGCTGCCCGCGCTCAGTGGCGCGACTCTGGCAGGAGATGGCTCTCTTTGCCAGAGGTCATGCTCGCGTGGATCCCGACCCCTAACTTCGCGCTCTCTACTACGGTCATAATCACGGCGGTCATACCCACCAGAGCGATCCGCATCACCCGGTAAAGGACGTCCCCGGTCGAAATCACGGTCGCGCCAGCTCTCCCGTGAACGACTTCGAGGGTGGAAGAGATCCCGCTCGCGCTCTCCCGCATAGGAACTTCTCCCTCGACCTCTGTCCCAATCGCCTCTTCCCCTGCCTCGACTAAGTCCTCCCCGGCCAGCCGGGGCATAGTAGGACGACGCAGCGTCGGGAACACGAGAGAAAGTGGAAGGCAGTGATTCCCGCGAGTCCCGCCGTGAACGAATAGGAGAAGCTGAGCGTTCTCTGCCAACATAAGGTCGATTGTCTCGGGCCGGTGCTACAGGTCGATCAGCGGGAGGAAATTCGCGGTCGCGCCGAGGCCATTCAGCGCGGTCATCGTCCCGTCCCCGGTAGGATTGCGGTGCAAGCCGAATATCTCGTTCACGGTCCCAATCTCGATCCCGGCTATCGTTGGGTCGAGGGGCAAACGCACCGCCACGACCACGTGGGGCGGAGCTGAAGGGGAAATTACCGCCACCTCGAAAATCGGCTTTGGGTCCCCTAGGAGGATCCCTCTGAGATGAGGCAGCAAAGTTGGTTGAGGATGGACGTCGGTCGTATCGTGGTGGTGAGCGTTCTCTTGCCGGCGGCGGGTACCTGGAAGACATGAGAGTCAGGTGATGAAGGACATCACGTGGTGTGGAATTAGTGGGCTCCGGTCAGTCAGGGCGTCCGCCCCGAGCACAAGACCCAGGCTGTGCACGGGGAGCTGAAAATTGGCCGGGTTGTTGCCGCTTTGCGCCTGGGTTTCAATTGAGCGCTGCGCGAGATTATTGCTGGCGGGAATAAATTGGGTTCGATGGTCGGCAGTGCGCGATCTTCAACGCGCGAACGCGTAGTCAAGTGCGCGGTAAACGAGGTCGATGAGAAGAGGAGCAAGGAGGAAGAAAAGAGACGTGGATGGGTCAGACACAAAGAGAACAGCCCAGGCGCTTGTCGCTCCTGCAGCTTCAATCTTAGCCGCAGATCCGGCCCCGTGCGTTGGGTGGCAGATGGCACCGTCACCACCGTGGCAGAGGGATGTCATTGCGTCAGCCGTAGGGAAGATCGCTATTGGACAGCTAGCCGCACGTCATTACAAATGATATCACCAGAGTCGCGGAGGAATGCCCAGCCACCGGGCCAAGGCTCAGATGTAATGACGCACTGTTTCAGCACGGACAGTCCCACCACCACACGACCACTGCCTAGCGAGCAGCCGTCGGCTCTGCTGGGGGCTGCTCTAGGCGCCGTGGCTACCCACGCTATTTCCGAACTTGTCTATTCCAAGGGGCACCTGATAGGCCACCACCACACTACATTAGGCGAATAATCACCCGCATGATTACGGAGTACAGGGTACGAGGTACCTAACCCAGGACGCGTACCAGCCCCAGTCTAACGGTACCTAAACGGCTCTGCAGAATTTTAACGACGTCCTGTGCACAATCCCCATCAGCGCTGCTATATTCCACAAATCCGAAATGGGTTCTGCGCCGCCTACCAAGGCCACTGATGCTGTCCTCGTCGCTTCCGAGCCCGTGCCGGATGGTGTACTGCAGGTTAAGGGTATCGATTGGGCTGCTCTGCCCGATCAGCACCGTGCTATCATCTCGAATTTCGTTGACCAGCTCACCGGCCAAGGCTTTCAGTCCAGCTCAATCGGCGACGCCATTCGTATCATCAATGACATGGTCGGTGACTCCTACATGCGCCTACACAGAGCAGTCCTGACTGCTTTCAGAGATCATGGAGAGACCCCGAATCCGGTGACAGAACAACAATTTTCCTGGGGTATACCTCCAACATGATATCGTCGGGCTTGCGCGAAACATTCCGCTATCTAGTCCAGCACCGCCACGTGTCTGCCATTGTAACTACCGCAGGCGGTGTTGAAGAAGACTTCATCAAATGTCTCGCGCCCACTTATGTGGGCTCGTTTTCTGCATCCGGGGCTGCATTGCGTGCGAAGGGGCTGAACCGTATCGGCAATTTGGTGGTGCCTAACAACAATTACTGCTCATTCGAGGATTGGGTGGTCCCAGTTCTGGACAAGATGCTGACAGAACAAGAAGAGGAGTTCGCGAAGTCCGGCGAACGGTTCATGTGGACGCCCAGCAAGATCATCCATCGACTGGGCAAAGAGATCAACGACGAATCATCCGTGTACTACTGGGCATACAAGAATGATATTCCAGTGTTCTGTCCGGCCCTGACAGATGGCAGTCTGGGCGACATGATCTACTTCCATTCGTTCAAGGCCTCGCCGTTGCAGCTTGGTATCGACATTGCCCAAGACATTCGGAAGATCAATACCATCGCGGTGCGCGCGAAGCGAGCCGGGATGATCATTTTGGGTGGCGGCGTGGTCAAGCATCACATTGCCAATGCTTGTTTGATGCGTAATGGTGCCGAAAGTGCAGTGTACATCAACACGGCGCAAGAATTCGACGGGAGTGATGCTGGTGCCAGGCCAGACGAGGCAGTAAGTTGGGGCAAGTATGTTACCCCGAAGTTTCTCGATTCCTGCGTTGGCGTAATCTTTGCCGAAAGAGTTGCTGAGCGCTGACGACACCCTAGGATCAAGGCCAATGGCGACAGTGTCAAGGTACGGAGAGCACTCGCGTGTTGGGTACATAACACTGACCTAGGATTTATAGGTGTACGTCGAAGCTACAGTTGCCTTCCCTCTCATCGTAGCTGGAACATTTGCAAAGCCAAACAGAAGTCGTGAAGAAGATTTGGTCGCAGATCCCGCTACGGCTGCAACTATTTGAAAGACAGCTCCTGGTGTCACCATCAAACTCGGCTACTCATACTCTGTCCCTTTGAAAAGGTGGCTGTCTGCTGCAGGCGTCCTGCTCCTGGTCCTGTCTGCGCTACTATTCTGGGCATGACCATCTAGACTCCGGTTCACTTCCGGATGGCCCAGCCAACCCTCTCCATGAGATCAGCCATGCAGCTTCGTCAGCTAGTCTGCATAGCCGCCCGCGACGCCGCCGTCCTTGAGATGTTGCCTGAGCTTCTACTGGCAGCCTTATCCTCGAGCGACATATGGCCCGATGCCCGCCAGGACTCAGAAGGCTTCCACTGCCAAGAATGATTTTGCGATTGCCTTTACGCTATCACTGTCCCACTGTGTCGCAGTCATCAAAAACACCACAAGAGACCCCAGCCGAGTCAGAAGAACAGCTATCAGCTACAACCCAGTGATGGACCCCACTCCTCTACACCTTCCGGAAATAGTCTGGCCCAGTTCTTCGAACCCGCCAGAAAGGGCGCTGTATGCGCTGTGGATGCGCTTTTGTCTACTCAAGCAAAGCAGAGGGCTAAGACGGGCGAGCCTACGGGAAAAGGCAGAACGAGATTCCAGCGTCTGTGTCGGCATTTGAAAAGTCTTCACGTGATACCTCCGGCATCGGATCGGAGAAAGCCCGATCCCCGCCCCCTCACGCAACATAACCGGCCTCCAAAAGCGAAGACAGCCTTCCGTACTCCGTACGGAGTATGCTCCTGTACGAGTATCTGGGGGTAAAAGGCCATGGTAGGCCATTTACAAATTCCAGTATCCTCCTCCTCTTTCCTTTCCTATTAATTCCTGCACCCTTGCACTACAGCCGCCTTCAATCAATCGAGTCTCAATACTCATAGCTGCAAGATCACCAGTTGGCGTTTCGACTGACGTAGTGTGACGTGCGTCGCGGGGGGGGCCAGCATTAGATTCAGTCACCCGAGCCCGTCAGCATTGCCTGCGCTTTCTGCTTCAGCAGGGTTGAACTGTTACATGAGAGGCTCCAAGTTGACTTGGTGACGAAGGGAAAGCCTCTACTGGTTCTATAAGCAAGATCTGAAGAAATAGACCTGCAAAGGAGGCTCTTCACTCTGGTGCACGAGCTCACGCAATATCAGGTCCAGCGTTGAACGAAGGGACCTCAACGATCTGAAAATCCAGCAAGAGTAAACAAGTCGCAAGCATACCTCTCACCACAAAGACAAACCTCATCCCTTGTCGGAAAATCACCGCCAGCTCGACGCCTGTTCACCATCGCTCAAACACTATTGACAATCACCTCAGCATTCGAATCACAATGGCCGCCCCAGTCCTCGAACACCTTTCTAGCACTTCTTCTACAGCCACACCCCAAACCTTCCGCATTCTCGTCATATCTGGCGACCATGTTGGCCCCGAAGTCATGGACGAAGCCCTCCGTGTTCTCGACACTGTCGAGATCGCATCCCAGGGACGGATCAAGTTTGAGCTTAACCACCAAATAGCTGGTGGGTGCAGTATCGACAAGCACGGCACGCCGATCACGGACGAAGTATTGAGAATTGCCAAGGAGGAAAGTGACGCGGTGTTGTTTGGCAGTGTCGGGGGGCCGAAATGGTAAGTTTGCATTTCTCCTAGGCTTCAAACTTGGGCTTCGTATTGCACCACAGTGTCCTGCCTAAAACGCTTGTCTGGCTCCCGCTAAGGGTGTTATACTACAAAGGGGAACAACCTACCCGAATCCAGAATCTGGTCTCCTCCGCCTTCGCCAACACCTCGATGCATTTGCCAACATTCGCCCTTGTGCATTCTACTCCAGAAGCCTCGTCCACTTGTCACCGCTCAAACCCTCCCTCGCTGCGGGGACCAACTTTATTGTTCTCCGCGAAAATACCGGCGGCGCATATTTCGGGCCCAAGGTCGAGGAAGCGGACTTCGCCAGTGACTCGTGGGCGTACAGGAGAGATGAAATCGAGCGGTGCGCGCGAGTGGCTGCTGCGTTGGCGACCACGATGGGCAAGGACGGGAAAGGAAACGGCGGTCCGGCCACGGTGTGGTCGAGCGACAAGGCCAACGTTCTCGCCTCGGGACGACTTTGGAGGAAGGTGACTAGCGAGGTCTTCGAGAAGGAGTTTCCGCACATTGAATTGAAGCATCAATTGGCAGACAGCCTTTCGATGATCATGGTCAAAGACCCCAAGGTGTTCAACGGTGTCATTCACACAGACAACACCTTTGGCGATATGCTGTCTGATCAAGCCGGTGGCGTGGTCGGCACTTTGGGCGTTTTGCCAAGCGCAAGTCTCTCCGGCATTCCAGATGGGAAGACTCGATGTAACGGCATTTACGAGCCGGTCCACGGCTCCGCCCCGGATATTGCAGGGAGAGGCATCGTCAACCCTGTGGCCCAGATCCTCTCCGCAGCAATGATGCTGCGGTATTCTCTCAACCTGACAGCCGAAGCAGCGGCAATCGAGGCCGCGGTGGAAAAGGTCCTAGACGCCAAGGATATCGGCGGTCTTGAGATCCGAACCGGCGATCTGGGGGGCACAGCAACGACCAAGGAAGTCGGCGACGCGGTATGCCGCGTTCTCGAGCAGCTTCTCACGGGTGATTCGGCTGGTGCGCCAGCTGCGGCAAGTGGGAACGCAGTGCCTGGTGCACCACCCGAAGCCCCGTCCAGCATAACACACGGGGACGAGAATAAGAAGTGGGAGGCCAAGCTGGTGCAGGAGAATGTGACTACGGGGCCCAAGGTCGCGCTGGCTACATAGAGAAGGCACGGCTTCCTTGCATCAATTGCACTGAAAAAAGCTCTTCAGACCCTCTCTCCCTTCGTGCGAAGCAGTCAATGAGAGCACATCTCTGGACGGGCAGCAGAAGGATCCTTGCCACATACATACTCCACGGGTTGCCCGCCAAGAAGAGCCAAATAGTTCTGCGATTCTGTGGCTGTGAACCCTCCACGATGCTATGCTTGCCCGTTGTGCGATCGTGTTTTCTCAGTCCTCACGTCAGACGACATTGTCCGCCCTGCCAAGAGTTACAGTGCTGGGATCGAGGAAGCCGCGGAAAGACTCAGGGCAGAACAGAAAGCAGAAGGCCACACGCTGCACAGCAGGGCCGTTCATGACCACCTCAAGCATTCTTTTGTCTCATATCATTCGTCGTGTTCGTCCCGATACGCAGGCTGCCGCAAACCGCGCCTCCCACATCGGCATCGGCATGCTAACCCTAGAACTGGTCTGTGACTCCGTCAGCTTGTTCAACCCCCGACTCAACCCATATCTCCAGCACTTACCTAGCGTCATACTCATACTGACGTCCGTGCTCTCCACCATCTGCGTGAACTCGGCGAAGCTGATCTTGCCATCGCCATCCTTATCCGCCTCCATGATGGTCTTGTCCACAATCTGCTGTAGTTGTTGATCCTTCAGGTTCGAGCCGACCATCATCTTGAGCACAATGAACAACTCTCCGTTCGAGATATAGCCATCCCGGTCAATGTCATAGACCTTGAATGCAAATTTCAGCTTCTCTTCCTTGTTGCCCTTGGAGGAGAAGGCCGAGAGCCCAAGCACGAATTCTTGGAAGTCGACGTCGCCGCCACCGTCTTCGTCGAAGATGGCGATCATTCTGAATGCGTTAGAAGCGGACACAAGTAGGTAGGTTACAGTGCGCGCCGCGTACCTCGTTGCTAGGGGATTGGACGACACTTGAGGTAACGAAAGGAACTCTTCCCGTTCGATTGTACCGCTGTTGTCCTAAGTGTTCCCAATATTATGTCAACGGCCTTCCATTTGCGCCGTTCGTTGAGCAGACGTACCTTGTCCAGCTTCATGAACCGTTTCCTTAATCTGTCCACCTCGTCGCGATCAACTGTTTGGCAATTCCATCAGCACGTGCTCAACCACGGCCTTGAAGTGCCAGACGTCCAACGGGCTCTGTCTCGCCGGATGGGCCCCCACGTACAATTTGAGAAGGAAACAATGTTATCGAGGATCTGGGAGCCAGTGACTTGCTGCCGTCTCCGAGCATCATAGAGAGCCGCATTGTTGGGTTCGGCGACGGTGGAGGATTGCGCGCCAAATGCTGGTGTCGCCATGTTGGCGGGGGGAGGGCAAGTGAACAAGAGATCAATCAGTGTGGTCACTTTCGTGCAGGAGCTTAGGGGGTGGTTGATGAGATCGGGGGTGACTAGTAAGGTGTGAGAGTACAGGCGAAAGAGCTAGGAATCCTGTGCGGAGGTACAGTAGAAATACAGTAGAACTGGATTGAAAGCTGAAAGAAGTGCACAAGGGGAGTTTCAGGAACTGCGATCTTTCAAGACGAGACACCTGGTTGGTCAACCGGTGACCGGATGTGGAATCAGGCTCAGCTCGAAAGGCAGAAGCACGAGGATGCAGTCGCACATGCTGACTTGACTTGACTTGACCTGACTTGATATACTTTGACCGTGTGCTCCGCTGAATCCGGCACGTCACTCAGACCGTCAACTGCAAACCTAACGTCCCTAATGGGCCACCCGCGCCAATTGCTGTAGGCACCATGGCCCTTGATGGCACGCCTAGAGGCTGCCACCTCTAGGTGCTGTGGCCGCGTCACATAGGTTGCCAATCCAGTGAATGACCCCCGCTTGCGAAGTCACGGCTCACCCCCAATTCACTGCGATCCCGCCTTCTTCCGCCCAAATCCATTCGCAGTCCCTTCTGACTTCGCAACCACACACAGCTTCATCATACAAAGCCACCTTCACAAAGGCACCGCGGAGGCAATTCATCAATTTTTAATTTCAGGGTCGCTCAACTACTTGCAACAAGCTCTCCTGTCTTTTTAGAAAAATTTTCAAGCAAAATTGCCGAAGCTGCACCTCGATCTGTCGCCGCGCTTGCCCCTTGATTTTGGGGTGAGGGCAGAGTGTGCAGCGACACTTCACCTCAGCTTCGCCCTCTCCCATGGGGTTTCACTAGAAAAAAATGCTACGCGGCCGCGCCACCAGACCCAAAAAACTCAACTCCAAACAAAATGTCCAGATTTTTCGTGAGGATCAGGTCGAATCCCTTCCCGATTACGATACACAACGTTCTGCGATAGAAACCGGCGTCGAAAAGGCCGAAGAATCAGTGAGTCTCTCTTCACCTCATGCTGCCTAACTTTTTTGTCGCGGTGTCCTCTTCTTCTGGCTTAGTCATCAAATCTCTTGGCAAAACAAACACTCACCGTTTTGCAGGAATACCATCTTCAACAGGCCATCAAAGCGTCCGAGGTCGCCAAAGCAGATGCAAAGATCAAAGATGCATACATTCCCACGCCACCTACCATCGCGAGCGATGTCAAATACGACGTCCTCTACCCGAAAGGGTTTCAGCAGCCAGCCACATACATCCGCTCATCGGCCACAGTCGAAGACTGTGCGGGAGTGGCGTATTGCATGGACGAAGAGGACGAGCTTGCTTTGAAATTGATCAATGGCAAGTTGCCTGCTGGTCAGGAAACATGCAGTGAGGACCAGTTCGAAGTGGTCATGAACTTTTTCGAAGAGACCGCTCAGACGAAACAACCGTTTGCTGCCGTCGATAGTCCTCCTGTCTTACCATTAGAAGAACTCCAGGATCAGATTGATGACACTGTGCCCCCATTCGTGAGCAACCTTTCCAGATTTATTTACGAACACTGGCGGACGCGGCGAACAGCCACCGGTAATCGTTCCTTGGCTCCTCGCTTGAAGTTCGAGACTGGTCAGGAGACGGACGACAGCGATCCATATGTTTGCTTCCGACGACGTGAATTGCGACAAATCCGAAAGACCAGGAATCGTGATGCTCAGAGTGCCGAGAAGCTGCGCAAGCTCCGCATGGAGCTAGAGACCGCGAGAGGCATGCTGCTGATGGTCAAGAGAAGAGAACAGCTTCGTAAAGAAACTCTCGAGATTGATCGACTTGTTTTCGAACAACGACTGGCACTCCGAGACACTAAGAGAAAGTTGGGCGTCAAGGGAGATGAGGATCTCCTCATCAATCAAAAGGTATGGCAAAATGCTGCTCAGCCAACGGAACAATTACTCACCTCATTCTCAGAAGCAGAAGATCCCTCAAGGCATGACACCCAACCAGGCCGCCATCGCTCAGCAACTCAGAATGCCCATGGCACCTGGGCCCGGTCCCGAACTCCGTACTCTCGAGGATGTTGCAGCCGTCAGAGAACGTGAGATTCAACGAGAGATCCAGACAAACATCGAGAAACACATTCGGTGGAACGAAGGGTTCGTCGACAAGACAATGGCACCCCTTACCCCCGAGCTCGAGGACGATTATCCTTCGCCTGGGGAACATTTCCGTGAGGCAATGGCCGCGACTGAATATCTGCCTACACCCCCAGCTAGTATCTCGGATGAAGAGTCGCAGGAGTTGCCGAATGGAACCGATGTGGTCATGAAGGATGTATCTCGACCTTCGACGCCTTTCCGGTATGCCAGTCCAACAGACGAAGAGACAGTCAGTCATATGCCATCCTTTAGGCGGCGAATAGGTCGTGGTGGACGAATATTGATCGATCGGAGACTGCCTCGTGCCGGTCGAGATACATTGAGAGGAGACGATCGATGGAGATATGACTCGCCTGATGAAGACGATTTCTCTGATGAAGAGCGAACTTTCCCCGACCTGACCTTTGCTCGCATGTCACAGCGAGCCTACCTCATCGGCAGTAGTCGGCCATCAGAAAACACACAGTTGATGGCAGCCAGAAAATCGCAGTCCGAGATTGCCGGTCCCAGTCATTCTTCACCTGTGGGGCATACTCAGGCGACCCCTGCTGCTTCTTGACCGTGTTGTTCTTGTTGTTGGATAACACTTTTTTCTTTCCGTCTCAGCGAGAGCACAATTCACAAGACTCTCTCAAAAGAGCCCGAGCACGCTCGGCCTCTGTCAGTGTTGCAAGACGCGGACGCCACATTCATGGATTGTACGATGACATTGATCGATGGGGTCCGATTGAGAGCCAGCCGTGGACGACACGACAGAGCTGTGCTGTGAGTGATGGTGACCGACTTGTACATAGTTAGTGAGGCCAGCGCCTCCCAATGGAAAAGAATAGCCCGGGAATGATCATGGGCCTCTTTCCTTCCGTGCAGTTTTCTTCGGTCTCGAACTGGGACCGTTGTCGGATGTTCGTTTGGTCGAGCCCGAAGTCATCTCCTCTGTTTGGCCTGCGATATGATCTTGGCAAAGGCCAAGAAGCTGGTGCAGGATCTCCTTCTCTCCGATCCTCACCTTCAAGGCCATTACGTATCGAGGCTCACTGCAACCGGAGTCGACCAGGAACTGCTTCGATTCAGCCGTGCCCAGTGCATCCAGAGCAGACCTGTCAGCGTCGAGGGAGGTCGCATACTCCGAGAGTCTTTTCGTCAGCGCGGCTTGTAGCAGCGCCGCCTCTTTGATTGTGACAGACTCCTTGGGCTTTTTGATGGTTTCTGTGCACAACGCTCGCAGGAGCATGTGTATTTGGCCGGGTATGGCATCCTCTAGCTTTCTCGCATCCACTGAAGGCCGTGGGATCGCATAGCCATCATCGATAACGCCCAGCTCCTCGAGTTGCTCTTCACGCTTCAGCCAGGCTGCGTCTTTGGTGCCATGCTTTTTGCCGGCAACTTCGAGAAGTAGATCATGGGAGATTTCCACGACGTCATACTGAGCATAGTTATCTGTAATGTAGCCGTACATACGCAGGAGGTCCGATCGAGGCAGGGGACCATAGTCGTTGAATATCTGCTCGCCCGCTTCGATCGGCTTGGTGGACTTCATAATCAGGTAGTCAGATTCTTGGAAGAGACGAGCCTGCAGAAAATCAGATGTCAGCTTCCAGAGAGCCATCAACTTTGACACATGAGACGCACATTATTTCGATCAGCATCTGCGTTGAGCATGTCAGCGAAAGGCACCATGCCCTTAGACGGCTCGTCTTCGTCGTCTTCCTCAAATTCCTCATCGGACTCTTTATCCTCGCCGTCCTTGTCGTCGTCCTTGTCGATATCGAAGGCATAGGCCATAATCAAGCTTCCAGCCATATGAGCGAGCTTGATCAACTCTGTCGTCCTTTCAGACTCGTTTTGACCAGCCACAACAAACAAGTCCGAGTGAGAGAGCATGACCGGGATTATTGTGTCTTTCCAATTTTCTTCGGCTTGGTCTCGTCCGATCTTGCTAATTACGGCGCTCGCTTGCAGTGTCTCAACTTCTGCTTTGTTCCAGAACATCAGACTGTCGAAGGTGGTGGGGAGGACTCGGAAGTAAGGGTACCATGGCGATTTGTCTTTCTGGAGATATTCGTAAATGATGGTGACTATCAATGGCGGCCATGCTCCTGTATTATTGAGGGGCTCGATCACTGTGGAGGGAATGCTGGAGGTGGTGGTTGCAAGCACAAGAGATCTAGGAATAGCGAACAGTTCTTCGTCTTCTTCGATGTCCCCAGCGGCGACTGAAGAGAATGATCAGCAGAAGGCTTGCGGTCAAGACGCAGAAGGCATACCAGCTCCTCTTCCCGCATTGCCACTTCTGAGATCCTTCAGTTGCACCTTTGAACTTAGCCGAGTCCCATCTGCCGACTTAAACCATTCGACGAAGTCAGCGGTCGCCTGGGCGAACTCGGGCAGATCAGCAGGCTGTACTGGCTCTGCCATGGTCAGAGAGCATCAGCGACGGAAAGAAAACTCTGCTAGAAATTGACCGGACAAAAAATGAGTGAGTATGGAGTGGTAATGCTGGCTGGGGAGAAAGCATAGTGGGATGAGGGAAAGGCTGATCGCAGGGCCAAGGCCGGAAGAAGTTGTGCCCAACTCCGATTGGCTGATCCGTTCACCACGACTGTTGCGTCCTCGTACCTCGTACCACGTGCAATTGTTTAGGTACCTAGGTACCTGTCCGAGGAGCACCACACGCATTACCGTATACTGACTATACATTGTAGACAACAGTGGCAAGAGTACCAATGTGGTACCTGCCAGAAGACATCAAAGGTCAGCCGACGTTCAAACTTGTTGCGCTTGTTGGATACCCGCCGACGCGACCAAGTCTGGTGGTATTTCTTTCCATGATCATTTAGTCAGGCTTTCTCTGCCACCACTATATTGGTATCTGATGCTGTAGTCCTTCTCTTTCCTCTCTCCGCAGTATATGCTACCGGCTCCTTGCTTTCCTTCTGTCGACGTCCCACAGTTCTAGCTCAGAGAAGCGGCCGGCCAATTGCAAGACCCGGAGCCGCGACCGACCTCCTGAACTGCCAAGCAAAATATCCCCTTTCCACCTGAGACTTCAAGTGTTCCATCAATCATCTGCCACCCCGTTCACCCTGTACAAGGCGGCTTCCGACACATCAAATCCGGGGTAGATACCTGTCGTGCCGAAAATCTTTACCAGCCAAAAGAGCTTCCAAGCTTTCCAAGAACTCTTGACTGTTTGGGATATGCCGCTCACCACCAGTGAACGGTTCTGATCGGTCGTGGTCTAGAGTTAGATCTCCTTTTTGGTATTTGCCGGCTTGCTGAGTCTGAAGCTGAACATGTTGCGGATCTTTGCAGGCCCTGCGGTCTGCACGTTGCAGGGCGCCTCCCTTCGTATCCCAAGGCTGTTGAGTTTTTTTGAGGTTTGTTCAAAAGGAGTCCATGGTAGCGGGAAAGGCTGAACGTCCCACTCCTCCTTCTACCATCCTCTTCTCTCGATTCTCTTTTGCCCTTAACCTCATACCTCTCATCAAGGTCTACAACATAAGCCCCACGGAGTGCTCGTTTATAAATCCACTTGTTCAAGAACTCATCAGCAACCGTCATTGCACCAAGCGTTCACTGTCAGCTCCAAAATGGCGACTCGAGGCTACGAGATTACAGGTCCACTCCAACGCTCCAGGTCCAACTATTACAAACCCCCGACCCAAACTTCCTACGAAAGCGACTTGTACATGGACGAGAAGATGGGTTATCAGACTCAAACCACCACCATCCCCCCATTGAATACCAGAAGGGATCCTTTGGCAACGACAAATGCACCACCCCCCGTTCCTCCGCCACCGAAATTCGAAGACGCGACCATGGTTTCAATCCCCGCAGACATGTTCGACCGCATGTTCCTGCGGGCCCAGGATCAGGCGAAGCCGGATGTCGGAAACAGTGGAAGTCATCATAGACAGTTTGCGAACCCCACGCCCCTGAGTGTCGTGGGTTTCCTCCTCGCGCTGAGTCCGTTGAGCTGCGACTTGATGGGCTGGCGAGGTGCTGGTGGAAATGGAGCCGCATCGATGTAGGTTGCTTCCTCCACTTCCTACCTCTCTGGTCCTTTCGACTGACGATTTGATCTTTCACAGTGGGGCGTACTTCTTCATCGGTGGTCTCTTGATGCTTCTTGGTGGTTTCCTCGAATATGTCGCTGGCCCCGCCAACACTTTCCCCTTCGTGGTCTTCGCTTCCTTCGGCGGCTTCTGGCTGTCATATGGCGCCACTTTACTCCCTTTCTTTAACGCCTTTGGGGCGTATTCGCCTTCCACCGACGAAGAGGATATCACTCTGGGCTTGGCAACCAAGGGCTTCAATGCCTCTTTCGGCTTCTTCATGCTTTTCATGGCGCTGCTGTGTCTTGTGTATTTGATATGTGCTCTACGCACGAACATTGTATTTTGCGTCATCTTCGGCGGCTTATTTGTTGGTTTCGTCTTCCTCACGGCAACATTTTGGTTCGTGGCGGAGGGAAATGCTACTGCGAGTAGGATGTTGTACCTGGGTGGCGCGAGTTTCTTCCTTAGCTGTATGGCTGGCTGGTACTTGTTGTTCGCGCTGTTGTTCATCGCAGTGGACTTCCCGCTTCGGTTGCCGCTGGTGGACCTTAGTGTATGGGTCAAAGGCTACGAGGAAAAGAAGAAGGCCTTCTGATGGGTCATGGTGTCTGAGCTGTGACTGGCAGCATTACGACGGTGTAACACACAAGGAGGAGGGACCGTCCTTGGACGATGCATGAAGCGACGAATATACCAGCGAGAAACATTCCACCACGCTCTTAGTCCCTTTTATAGGGGGGGGGGGTCTAAAAAGCAAGATGTACTGTACCACTACAATACTGTGATCAATCCGGAGGACGTACACAGCGGGATTTGATAGAGCAAAGTGTATGCCATGTGCGTGGTTTCAAGATGAAAATGTAGATGTCTCAAGCAGGATTGTGGGAACACGACGCTTCTACCTCACAAGTGCTCGCTCATAGCAACCTCGTTGATTTCTTTTTCACAATCTGAATTACTGGCCTGCATTGATTGTCCTGGCACGGCGTTCGGCTTCTACCGGTAGACAAAATGCTCAGCCGTAATTGACTTTATTCACAATCTCACTTGCAAGGCTCTGGAGGCGACTTTTCTTTCACACCGTCCAGACAATCGTAATTAATTTATCCGATTCTGCGATTCAGAAACAAGAGTTGGTGCCTGTCCGGGACCTGTCCACTCCGCCCACATCAACGTCTGCTTCACCAACAGTACTTTAGAAGACCGGTGTATGTACGGAGTACTGCCTCTCAATTTCTCATCCGCTTTGAGACCGTCACCCCTGCCCACGCTGTGACGGCGCCATCACCCAACCACTGCAATCATTAAGAGATCTTGGTCCAGACAAAGTGACCACAGGTGCGGTGAGGAGCGCGCTGCTGGTGGGTGAGAACATCGGAAGAAGGCCATTGTCCCTGGGCCATTCCGCCTCTACTGTTGGAGTGGCCCATTTGTGAGATATACTTGGTGAAACACCACACCACAGGACCAAGCATTCAATATCATTCTCCTCGATTGCCACCCACCCCCCATGCCCATAGCCCTCGGTCTCGAAGGCTCCGCCAACAAACTCGGCGTCGGGCTCATCTACCACTCGGGCGTGCCCAACACCGCGACCTACACCTCCTACGCGTCGAAACAAGCTCAATCGAAATCACAGCCTGAAGTGCGCATCCTCTCCAACATCCGACACACGTACCATGCACCTCCAGGCGCGGGCTTCTTGCCCAAAGACACGGCCCTCCACCACCGCAGCCACGTGACGACGCTCGTTGTCCAAGCCCTGCAGGAAGCCAACATCAGCCCCGCCGACCTGGACTGCATCTGCTACACGCGCGGGCCGGGGATGGGCGCGCCGCTGCAGAGCGTGGCGCTCGCGGCCCGCACGCTCTCGCTGCTGTGGGACAAGCCGCTCGTCGGCGTGAACCACTGCATCGGCCACATCGAGATGGGCCGGAGCATCACGGGCGCGACCAACCCGGTCGTGCTGTACGTCTCGGGCGGCAACACGCAGGTGATCGCGTACTCGATGCAGCGGTACCGCATCTTCGGCGAGACGCTGGACATCGCCGTGGGCAACACGCTCGACCGGTTCGCCCGCACGCTGGCCATCCCCAACGATCCCGCGCCCGGCTACAACATTGAGCAGATGGCCAAGGCCGCGCTCGCGCCGCCCATCCTGGTCGACCTGCCCTACGCGGTCAAGGGCATGGACTGTTCCTTCAGTGGCATTCTCGCGCGCGTCGACGAGTTGGCCATCTCGTGTCTGCGCGGCAAGCTCGTCGACCCGGCCTCGGGCCGGAAAGTCACGCCGGAGGATCTGTGCTTCAGCCTGCAGGAGACCGTCTTTGCCATGTTGGTCGAGATCACCGAGCGGGCCATGGCGCACGTCGGCTCCAGCCAGGTCCTCATCGTCGGCGGTGTCGGGTGCAACGAGCGGCTGCAGGAGATGATGGGCCAGATGGCGCGGTCGAGGGGCGGCGACGTCTACGCGACCGACGAGCGGTTCTGTATCGACAACGGCATCATGATCGCTCATGCGGGACTGTTGGAATTCCTGGGCGGGGATAGGGAGGGCATCAGACTCGAAGACAGCACTTGTACGCAGAGGTTCAGGACGGATGATGTATTTGTTCGATGGAGGGACGACTGAGTCGACTTGGGTCGGGCTCGGAACTGTTGTTGACATGCTATATGAAATGATTCGGCAGATGGAATCAAATTGAGCGATTGATGACCAAACAAAAAGAGATTCTATCATTGACTATGTCAAGAAGAGTAGAGTGGCTTTGTCCCCCGTGCCCGTTCTATCAAATCCCATGGAGCTCCCGAGTTCTAGTCGTAGACGGTCATGCCGAAGTTGACATATGCAAGATTCGTTTCGCTGCCACCGTGCCCGTGACACGAACAAGTCAATGTGACTCGATGCGTTTATGGCAACACTAGACAACTTCAACGCAGCGCAGTACAGCACATCCTACTCGTGATGGAGTCGAGAGTATCCGACCAAGTCATGAACGGCGACACATTTCCACCAGGCTGGCGTGAAGAAGAGAATCGCAGGGTTGGGATTCCTACTGTGCCTGCTGTTGATCGATCTGGATGGCCTTCGGTACGGGCTTGAACGAGATCGTGGTCACATACTGTTTCGGAATTAGCACTTATCATGATTCCCAGGGCAACCTTCACGCACCTTCTTCTTGTACCTCGTAGTAACACTTGTCGCAAGCACCCCATTCTTTACACTGCTCGTCATCAGGTGATTTAAAACAGTATGATTGGGCAATGTTAAGACGCTGTTATCGTCCTTGACAGGCAGAATACCGTTCAAAATCGACCTGCTGAGAAACAGTGGTAGAGCTGGGGGATGGCCGAACTCCGAGATGCACGCAGATGCCGCCTTGTACTTTGGTTCTTCTTCGTCCAAATCGATGTCGATCAAGTAAGGCGGGATGAGTTGACGCCAGTCACCTGCTGGGATCTCTTCAAGCTGAGGCTCAGAGAAGTCGGAGTCCTCGGGCGTCTGCTGCCCGGAGGTGGCTTGTTCGCTTTGTTCCTCGGGCGCAAGAAGAGCCGTTGACTTGGTCCCCGGTTGAGCGCTCTCTCGACGTGGTTTGGAGATGTCCTCAGTCGCGATCTCGATGTAGTTGACGAGGAAATTGTTGAAGTCGACGGCCGTAGGCAGCTCTGAACTGGTGACCATCTCGCCATCGACCACAAACTTGAGATGGTGGGTTCCAGAAGGAAGGTTGATGGTGGTAAACATGCCGGGACCGTTCTTTCTATAAGGGAAAGTCAGCTAAAATCTCAGAGGCAGATCAAAAGGCAATTCTCCCCGTGTAGGGCACGACATCCCCGGGTTGGTATCGACTCAGTCAAGATTCCAACACTCTTCCGAGACATTGGACAAAGAAAACCGGCTGGCGAAGGCATACCTCGGATGTAGTCTATATTTCTTTTCCCAATTGGCAAAAGTACCCGTTACGTAGACCTTGTTACCGCCTTGATTCCACTCGATCACCGTGGGCGTAGTCTGAGTCGTGGACTGGACTGCATAAGGCTGCAATTCGTCACCAACCTCGTCCTCGGACTGTGTGTTGGTGCTCAACATGGAACTTCTTCGTCTTATGTGCGGCTCTGCAATTGCGAGAGGGCCATCGGTCTCAAAGAGAGGCACATCGGCGTCACTGCTCTTGTCGACTGGCAGCAATGTAGGAGAGTCGGGGATCGGTACATCGGCGATCGGAAGAGGAAGACGAGGAGGTCGCAGTTGAGCCACCGGAGCATATCGTCGGTCGTCGTAGGGTTGACTGTGGGCAATAGGTCGCTCGTCAAAACGATCCTCGTCCTGCTTGCTCTTCGATATAGGTACGTCCAGAGGAGTGGCGGGCTGAGGGACAGCAAGTGGTTGCTGGCTGGGAGGTTGCGGTTTGGGTCGATGCTCCAAGTCATTCTTCTTTTCTTTCGACGTTCTCGAGGATGACCTCTCTACCCGTCCGGCCTTGACACTTTCGGGGGAAGCAGCCTGCAAATATTGTTGCAGTTGAGGTTTCTCGAGATGTTGGGAGGTGGTCTGGGCAACAGCCGTGTCCTTGGTCGCAGCCGCATCGACGGGTGCACCACGACCTTGAGAAAGGGCCTGAATCGAGATCCGGCGATTGATCTTGCGGTCTTTCTCGGCCTGGGGTGTCCCAGACCTAGAGCTCGAGCTCTTCTTATCTTCAGCCGACTGTTGATTGCCCATAGTGACTGTTGTGTTGCGGAAATGTCAAGGTGTCGTGCGACACGATTTATTCGGGAATGGCCGGTTGGGGAAACGGAGGGAAGAGCCGCTGTCAAGGAGATAGGAAGTCGGAGCGAAATCTGGTAGGCTCCAGGTGAATGAGCATGTATACAGATACTGAGAGATAGCAAGGAACGTAAGCCAAATCGACCGACTTTGACTTTGTGGAAATGAATCCGAGCTCCGGTGACGCTGAAGCTTAAGGCCTCGAGGGGAAGAGAAGAAGAGGGGGCGCTCAGAGAGGCTGAACTCACTTATTGATGATGAGTGGGCGCAAAGACCCTTAAAGGAGAGCCTAATTTCAGGAACAATTGCGGGGAGAAGGCGTCATTGTTGGCTGACTTGCGGCTCAACACGAGCGGCAACATTCACCTGGTTGTGCCCAGTACGAGGACAGTTACTACAGTACCACCACTACTGCGACCTGCAGAGGTCATTCCAGTGCATCATGATTCGCAAGCCACTCTGACGATGAACACTACCGCCACCGACTCAGCTTGGGTGCATGTGTTCGCTGGGTCATATCGCGCGTTCTCTACGGCAACCACAATCCTCTCCTACGCGTTTTATCCGATCGTCCGACTGTTGGCGCTGCTATGGTACATTCTAGCTTCGCTATCAAGTCCATTTATATACCTCGCCGGAGTGGTGATACACATCGCGTCAATCCCATGGCGAATATTCGCAGCTTTCGAGGTCTGTAGCCTCAAAGAAGCTCTGAAATCTGCAGGAGCTGATAGCTACTGTACAGCCACTCTGGTATTTCCTCGGGAGTGCAGTCTTCATAGGCCTATTACTCGCACTGATCTTACACTTCACCCTCCGCGCCATTGTCTTTGTCTTCCGCATTGACAAGCAACCCACCCCGAAGCCGATTCCCCCTAAAGGTCATGATGCAATATCGTACAGGAAGGCAAGAGAAGAGAAGAGGAGGAGACAGCTTGAGGAACAACAGAGACTGGCCACCCAAGCCAGACTGATGGCCTCACAACCGCTGTTACAAGAGGTCGTGCGGGAAGCCAGAAAAATGCCGTTGACCACGTCGACAGGCCCATTGAGCCCAGTCAGTCCTACCAACACCCTACCAGCACGGCCAGGACTGTTGCAGGAGACGATTCTGGAACACAGTGAAGAAGACGACGATGACTCGGTCTTCTGAGCGGACGCGCCATCACCGTAAGCCAGCTTTGGTGAGCGCATTCTCGAACAAGTCCTTGCAGCGCACGCGACTGCCCAATCTGGCGCACAACAGGAAAGCTCCGCTCAGTTTGCGATGCAGGCTGTACGTCTCCTCCGGCGGAGGTGCGAGTCGTTCCCTCAGCATGACTGGAATCAACTCTCGTACACGATCGGTAATGGTCTGGTCCTGAAAGTCATAGACATCAGGACTGAAGTCCATGAATGGTTCAGCCAGAGTCATGACAGAGTCGATGTGAGCGTTGTACATGGCCTTCGACTCATAGCCAGTGAGGTAGCCCAACTGTATCGATAAGTCTCCGCACGCCTTTCTGTCCTTCCTCGAGGCCGCCATGAGAGTCTTGACGTACAAGTCGATGAACCGATCTGGGTACTCCCGCGATGCGCCAAAATCCAAGAGTTCCAGCTTGTTCGTCTTCGCGTTGTAAAGAAAGTTCGTCCAGTTAGGGTCCGTCTGCATATATCTGAACTCGGTAATCTCTCGCAGACAAAGTCGAAGGATCTGCGAGCCAATCCAGTCTTTCTGCTCCTGTGTGAAGTTCTGGACTCTGGTGACTGGGATTCCGTCCATCCGCTCCATCGTCAAGACTCGCTTTCCCGACGCTTCATCAACGATCTCGGGGACGGTGAAGACGTCCTCCTCGTCTGCCAAAAGCCTCGCGAAGCGTTTAGCTGCACCCGCCTCGCGGACGTAGTCGCATTCCCAAGCGAGCTCGGTTCGGGCATTCGCGATCGTCTTCTCCAAGTATAGCCCCTTGGGTAAGAGGCGAGACGCGCTGAGCAGTAAAGAAAGGTTATTAAGGTCAGAGGAGATCGAGTCCGCCACACCCGGGTACTGGACTTTGACGGCGACTCTCCTGCCATCCTGCAACACAGCACCATGAACTTGGCCGATTGACGCAGCAGCCATGGGCCGCTCATCAAACTGCTGAAACAATTTCTCCCGCCAATTTGGACCTAAATCAGCAGCAATCACCGCGTCACGCTGCGACGCAGGCATGTAGTCGGCACTATCCTGGACACGTTGAAGCACGTCATGAATAGGCTTGGGAAGCAGCTTGGAGTCTTGAAAGCTCATCATTTGGCCTAGCTTGAGGGCAGCGCCTCTCATTTTGGACAACTTGGCAACAAGACGTTCCATGTTTGCCGCACTCAGCATCAGAGAGCCATGGGGACCTCCTGAGCGGCTGATGCTTTCGCTCACTGCGCCAAAAGCCATGGATGCCGCTAGCCCTCCGAACTCGAAAATGCGGCCCACTCGTGAGGAGGGCACTTTTGATTCCCGCATTTGGTAGGGTTGCTGTTGCTGGGTCTAGGGCATCTGTCAGTCTGATCAGTTCAGCACCGCACAACCTTGGGTTGAGTAGACTTACATTGATTTTCTGGACATCGTTGGCCAGGTCAGCACCAAGCTGCTTGAGGCTCTCTGGGTCTGTGTCAGAAGCCTTCTGATGCCTAACGGTCATGGTGTGGAAGTTGCGAGGCCGTCTTGTCGAGGCTGGATGCACACCAGGCTGAACACCACCGGGAGCGTACTGGGCTTTCTGTGCAAACATTCTGGCGTTTCTGGGATTGTGGAAGATTTGAGACAGCAGTTCTTCCGAAGGCTCATCCGCCGCCACTTCTCGCTTTGAGCCGTGGTAGTAGACGTCGGCATTGAGGCCAGGCTCGAT